CCCGTTGAGCGAGGAATGAAGAGAATAAATAGAGCCGGGGCAATATCGCGAGGGCTCGACGGCGGCGTCTCCCTCGTCCTTGACTGGGCCGACGAGCGTAAGAAACATCAGCGAGTCGCCCATTCTCCCGACCCGTCCGAGGGCCAGGCGCCGTTTGAAGGTAGCCCAGCAGAATGTGCGTCCTGGGCGCGCGCGTCCCCTCCTCGCCCTCCTCGCCGCGCGTGCCCATCCACCTCCTTCCCGCACCCAGCCCCAGCCCCCGCTTTGATCGAAGTTCAACAACGTCACCGCAGGCTAGCTAGCTCAGCAGCGTCGCCATCGGCCTGATCAGCACATGGGATCACCGGATGCATCACGCGAAGAAGGCATCGCATGGCAGATAGACGCTCCTTCTTCGCGCGGCGGACAGACGCCGACGAATCGCCTGAGAGCTGGCAGCCCACGACCAAAAATAGGAAAGAGGGAAGATCCGCCCCAAAGAATCCCGTTGACGACGATCCCAAATGCCCAATTCGGTTTAGCCCAAAACACCATCCCCAAAAAAACATCCACCTCCCTCCCCATAGGCGAACACAAAAAAGCCCCCCCCCCCCAAAAAAAAAAAAACCGATCAACAAGAAAAGAAAAACGCAAACGCACCACACGGATTACTCCCGTCGCAAGGCAGACTTGCCTGCACGCACTGGTCGCACGCCTGCTTGGACGTCGTCGCGCGCGTTGCGGCCGCGGTGGTTTTGCGGCGCGGGCCTGTTTGTTTATTTATGGGTGAGTAAAAGAAATAAAAATGGAGGAATAAGGAGAATAAGAGAAGAGGGGGAAGGGGGTGCGTGGTAAAGCAAATCGAAGGAACAAGTATAATAATAACAAAAGATGGAACAAAAAAAGCCATGCGGGCTCGGGAGCCGCAGCCCCGAGAACAGCGGCGGACGCGTAAAGATCCACCGACGGAAAAAAAATGGGGAGACATGGAAAGGAGGTGAAGGAGGAGGAGGAACGAAAAACGAAAAGCAAAGAAGAAGAAAAAAGAAAAAAGGCACTTACCCCCGCCCGCACCCTGGCCTGCGCCCTGCAGCGCGCCCGCGGAGGCCTTCTCAGCGGCGTGGCATTTGTTGACGTGGCGGGAGAGCAGGTCGCTGGGGATTGGGGTTAATAAACTGAACGCAAGAGGGAGGAAGTGGGTGGAGGGAGGGAGTATAAGGGGAGGAACGGAAGGGAGGAATGGAAGGAGACAGACGACACGACACACACCTCCTTGCGAACTGGTCCCCGCAGTGCTGGCACTTGTACGGCCGGTCGCCCGTGTCTGCGGGGGCGGTCAGCTATGCATGTGGTGGGGAATGGTAGGAAGGGAAGAAAGAGCGGACAGTGATATGGGACAGCAAACGGCAGCGATAAGAACAGACCGGCGGGGAAGAGACCACCACCCGTATCTTTACGCTACGCTCCACCAAAGCCACACACACCGTGGAGATGGGGTGGGTGGGGCAGATGGCCCCACCGGCAGGACAGATGCGGATGCGGATCTGCCGTGTGCCACGAAATGGAAATCGTATAAAGCGATGGATGGAGTGAATGAAATTCATTCCACACAAATCCATATACGAGGAGGAAAGGGACGTACGGGAGCGCATATGCCTCGCGACGTGCTGGGGACGCGTAAAGGTCGCCTGGCACACTGGACATTTGTGGTCGCCGCCCATTGTTCGTTATTTCTTGGTTATTTTTCTGTATCTCTCTACTGTCTGGATCCGTTCCGTGCGTCAAGTCGTTTCGTTCTAGATCTGCCCGCCGTCTATCTAGCAGGAGGTCTCAGTAGTATGTTTCTTGTTAATGCCGGTCGTGGAGTCGTCGGCGCAGTGGAGCAGTCGTCGTGGTAGCAGTAGTAGTGGAGCAAGCGGTATTGGTGATTCGAGACTCGCTTCGAGGAAAGGACACCAACGATGGTGTGGAGCAGAACTTTTCGCGCCTCCCTTTACGGAACCACGACGTCATACCGCGTGTATTGTTTGCACTTTGATGTCACACGAGGATCGTTGCTAGGTTCTCTGCTTCTCTGTTACGGGTTTAATTATGGGTATCGCCGGCCACTGTAGATCCTCGCCGTCGCGGAGCGGAACACATATACACTTTTTTTCTGTGCGCGGTGGGCGTTGAAGCAGGTAAATCCAACTCGATAGTCAGCACCGGAGGAGGACGATGACATCACCGTTAATTTATTCGATGATGATGTCATTTCGATCCGTGGCGGCGGCGCTTGACCCGCGTTTCACGTCGTTCGATCGGGCAATTCCCGCAATACACGTTCACCCGGCTCTCCTTTCGCGCTATAAATACAGCGCAGGTGTGAGTACACGTATATACCTTCGGTCTGGTAAACAAGTACGCGAGAAAAACCTCAAAAACAACACAAAAGAGACAGAAAAAAAAACACAATCGAAATTCGCTTCGCCGCCGCCCGGCAATCACCCTCCTGTCATATCGGCTATTAGCGGATGTGCGTTAATTGCTCGCATCATATCCGATCAGCGCTCTTCTTTCGGAAAACTTGCGGAATACCGAGAAAGGAAGTAATAGGTTCACTTGGCGTTCTTTATCTTCCGGAGCCGGGCTTGCTGGACCGCTTTGACGTGAATTGCAGCGATGCAAAGTCCTTTTATTTATTTTCATGCACACCTCCACTGCATTACATCAACACTGCATGCTACATCCTGATGTCTATATATATTTCTGACCGCCCATTCAGACGCGGGAAATCGAACCCGAACCACGGACCCCAAGCCTCATGCATTATAATTATCCAAAACTTCTCGACACATTTGACGCTGACGTGCACCGTGCACCACATCGAACCAGTAGGATGAGTACATAAGAAATAATTTGTAGTTGAACAACGAAAAACAGGGAGTCCAACTTGACCTGCCGGCAGCAAAAGCAAACGCAGCGGAGTCTGTTTTTGGCTCATTCATTCCAGTATGTATGTATATAACTTTTGAGCGAGACCCACACCAAGACGACTGTAAAATTCAAATAAAGCCCTCGGCAATCACCTTCTCCTGTCATGTCGGAAATAGCGGACTCTTTTTCGCCAATCACTTGTCAGCGTCAGCGGCGCTCTTTCCGACTTCTTTTTGTTTTTTTTTGGCGAACCGAACAGCGGCGTTCTCTCTTGTTCGGAACACTGTCTTGGGCTGTCAATTTATCCTGCGCTTGGCAAAGCCTCGCGGACCGGTGCATTTGGCAGGATTTGGCAAGATTTGGCAGGCGCCGTCGGGCGCCGGGTGCGGCGCGCGCAATAGGGCAGTCAGAGTAGCGATTCTGGGGCGATTCGGAGGCGATTCTGATGTGGGGGATGCTCGGTCGATTCTGGACAGATTCAATTCCATTGACAGAGAATCACAATCGCCTCAGGATCATCACAGAAGCACCTCCAGAGGAGCTTCTACACGATTAAAAAGTGATTCTCATGACGGCGATTCTCTCACGCATCACCTTGAGAATCGTCGATAAGAATCGCCTCCAGAATCCTTCCCTAATGGCATGTTGAACGAAACGATCAACTTCTTTCTTTATTTTCATGCACACTTCCACCGCACTACTACTACATCCTGATGCCAGAACAAAGGTGCTTGGGCGCCCGCGCTGTTGAATGAAACGATCAAGCTCTTTATTTATTTTTATGCTGCGCTTAACCTTGCTAGTATATGCCAAAAAAAAAAAGTTTGCATAAGTTGTAGTAGTCGGACCGAACCCCGGACTTGCAGCGATTACGAATTACGTCTATCACTGGCAGTTGCTTTTGACGCTGACGTGCGGTACCGCGCACCGTGCACCACTTCGAACCTCAGTATAACTGGTGCCAAAAGTTCAATCATGTTGGAGGACTTCGAAGGAAAAATCATTTACCTGAATTCGGATGCGGGCCCGTTCAAGCTGGACGAAGGCAAACAGAATTTTATTTGGCATGCCGGGACGCCAAAAAAAAAAAAGGAACTGGAGAGATGCAGTTCGGATGTGGGGAGTCGAACCCCGGACTTCAGTTATGTAATACCATCCGTACGAACTATTTTACGCTGATGTGCACCGTGCACCACATCCGAAGTACTTTCTATCTATTGAACCTTGGGATAGGAGTGAATTATTCAAAGTAGTTGAACCACGAACAAATGAATAATGCTAAGAGTCAACTTGACCTGCTGGCAGCGAATTATTTCTGTACATAGTGGAAGCGGGGAGTGAATGATCAAGTGCTTGTCCTGTCAGTTACTCAGTGGTGAGTATAGTAGATTTATTTTACTCAGGCGGGAACGAAGGTAAAAAAAAAAAGGAGAGAATGACATGGGGCGCTCATTCGGATGCGGGGAGTCGAACCGCGGACTTCAGCGATTACGAATAGATAGTCGAACACTACTTGACGCTAACGTGCACCGTGCACCACGTCCGAATTACTTACCGTTATCTGAACCAGAGGATGAATGAGAGATAATTATACTGATTGAAGCATCAAACAACAGAAATAATGCTGTGAGTCAACTTCGAATTATTTTTACACATCCAAACAGACTTGAAAGGGGGATTAAAGGACGAACAGCTTGACTTTTTATTTGCAGATGAGGGTAGTGTTCTCAGGTTGGAACGAAGGTAAAAAGATTCTTCTTCACGCTGGAAGTTCGGATGCGGGGAGTCGAACCCCGGACTTCGGCCTAGCATTGATTGATGGGACACCGACGTGCACCATACACTACATCCGATGTACTTTCTATCTATTGAATCAGAGGATGAGTGAGAAATAATCAACACACAAAACGCGATTTGGCATCTATCTGATTTTTGGAAGCGCACCCGTTATGATTTGGGACGCGTACCCCGTTATGATTTTGCAGAGCGTGGGACAACTACACCCGCATCATTCTTCCTTAAAATCTTTAGATGAACCATGAGGGCGCCGAATTCGAATATCTATCCAGCCCAAAAAAAAAGGAGTCATTTCATCACTGCCACAGCTCGGATGCGGGGAGTCGAACCCCGAACTTCAGCTCAGTTCCATTTGTGCCCAAATAGCTGACGCTGACGTGCACCGTGCACCACATCCGACGTATTCTCCACCCACTCGAACCTCAGTATAACAAGTGCCAAAAAGTTACATTGCATTCAATCATGTTGGAGGACAGCGGAGTCTTCGAAGGAAAAATTATTACCTGAATTGCGCCCCATTCAAGGCTGGGCGAAAGAAACGACAAAAAATTATTATATTCATGCCGAGACGGAAGGTCGGCAACAGCGCGCGTGAACATTCGGACACGGGGAGTCGAACCCCGGACTTCAGCGATTACAATTGCGTCCATCGTTTATTTGACGCTGACATGCGCCGTGCACCACATCCGATTCAGTTACTTTGCTTGAAACCTGAGGATGAGTGAAAGACGAATCGGTGATTTGAATCATTGCAGGCATGTTCAACTTACACCCAGAGTGATGCGTGTGCGGAACATATCCATCCATTACCACCAGTATTCATGATCCAGTGGGGAGATTTATCCGCGCGATGACCGCATAAAAAAAACGCTACAAAGCTGACTCGGATGCGGGGAGTCGAACCCCGGACTTTAGCGATTACAAACGCGTCGACGGTTTATTTGACGCTGAAGTGCACCGTGCACCACATCCGAGGTACTTTCCATCTATTCAACCTGGCGATGAGTGAGAAATAATCAACAACACAAAATGCGATTTTGGCATCTACCCATTCTGATTTTGAGAAGCGCACCCGTTATGATTTTAGGAAGCGCACCCGTTATAATTTGGGACGCGTACCCCGTATTTTTGAGAATGCGGGACAACTGCATCCGCATCATTCTTCCTTGAAGAATCTCTACTTAGATGCGGGTGGCGAAAAAAAAAAAAATCAGGCCGAAAAAAAGGATTACTCCATCACTCTGTCATAGCTCGGATGCGGGGAGCTGAACCCCAGACTTCAGTTAATACCATCCGAGCGGCGACTCATTTGACTAGACTCGTAACCAGTCTGTAACCAAATAGCCGAAAATGTGGCAAGCACTTCGGTGGTTACAGACTGGTACAACTCGTTGACGGCGATTGGGCTAACCGCGGAGTTTGAAATTTTTGCGAGGGTCTTGTTCTGGGGTGCAGTTTGGATATGAATAAATTTGGGACACATGGGACCATTTTTTCCCTTAAAATGACGAAATCTGCCTCTTCACTTATTTTTTAATCCAGCTTGGGAGAGTGTAAAGAACTAGGGGTGCTCAATTGCTATCTCGTGGGCCCGTCCCGTGGGTTTATTTGTCCCGAACAAATAGAATTCAAACTCCGCCATCCAAAAAGACTTTTTATAACAACGGTGCGGCCACTAACGGTGCATATATCTTGCCCCAAAATCACATAACACATTCTAGAGTACTTTGGTAACATTTCTGGATAGATTTGATGTGTAGAAGCAGGTCTGGAGGTATGAATAACTGATGACTAGCTTTGCGCGCATAGTTTCGCGGATTCATTTCCAAATACCACTCAGAAAAATGTCCATTAGCTCATTAGAGCCTCTTCATGTTTTATAAGTGGTGTTGGAACTCCACTGAGAGCTAGTGTAGCTCTAGAAACGGCATAAATACCGGGCGGAGTTTGAGTTCTATTTGTTCGGGACAAATAAACCCACGGGACGGGCCCACGAGATATAGCAATTGAGCACCCCTACTATCAACTTTTGACCAGAATTGACAGATATTGATGGCTCGCTTCGCGGCCGATCGCGGCACCTGCCAAAATTTTAAACTCCGGGGACAGCCCAATCGCTGTCAACGAGTTGTACCAGTCTGTAACCACCGAAGTACTTGCCACATTTTCGGCAATTAGTTACAGACTGCTATCATTTGACGCTGACGTGCACCGTGCACTACACCCGATGTATTTCCTCCACTTGAACCAGAGGATGAGTGAGATTTCAGTTCCTTCATGTTCAACTCGATTTGTATGACGGGTTTTGCCAGGCGCGTCATCACCGCCAGATTTCTCGGCAGAGTTAAGAATACCTTCTATGTTGGCGAACCTCAAAGAAGCGAACCTTTGTGACCGCAAGAAAAAGAAAAAGAAATCTCAATCGGTAGGCGAATTCGGACGCGGGGAGTCGAACCCCGGACTTCGGTTTAGACATCAGGTACCTACCACTGCATGTGACACCGACGTGCACCGTGCACCACGTCCGACTTACATTTCCTCCCCTTGAACCTGAGGATGAGTGAAAGACGAATCCGTGTTTTGAATCATTCGAGGCATGTTCAACTTGGCGTAATTGCAGCCAGCAGGTAGTTAGGTTGAGAGTTATAAATCAGCAGGGCTGCATACGCGTTTGAGGGTAGGCAATGGGTTGAATCATCGTTCCAGAGAAAAAAGGAATATGAGCCGATATTCGAATTCAGATGCGGGGAGTCGAACCCCGGACTTCAGCTGATCATACAGTCTTTCGACAAGTTCATATGACGCTGGCGTGCGCCGTGCACCACATCCGACATACTAGCAAAGAATTATTTCCGTACATCCAAATACGGGAGACTAACGAATGTCTGGCTAGGATAGTGAATTTTTATTTACTGAGGCAGGAACGAAAGTAAAAAAAAATCTCGGGATTGCGGAAGTTCGGATGCGGGGAGTCGAACACCGGACTTCGGCCTAGTACGAGCCAGTCGATTAATGGGACGCCGACGTGCACCGTGCACCATATCCGAGGTACCTTCTATCCATTGAACCAGAGGATGAGTGAGAAATACCTGTGGTTGAAGCCACCTCAAATGTGAATAATATTTGGCATCTACCCGTTATGATTTGGGGACGCGCACCCCTTCTGATTCTTGAAAGCACGGGACAACTACATCCGCATCACTCTCACTTGAAAATCTCTACTTAGATGCGGGTGGCGAATTCGAAAATCTATTCAAGCCGGAAAAAAAAGAGGTATCGAGCACCGCGATAGCTCGGATGCGGGGAGTCGAACCCCGGACTTCAGCTCTGTACATTGGGTTTGGGGCTCAACATGTGGAGCTGACGCTGATGTGCGTGTACCACATCCGGCGTACTTTCTATCGATTGAACCAGAAGATGAGTGAAATTAACTACACTGATTGAACACCAAACACAAAATAATACTGTGAGTCAGCTCGGCGTGCTAGCAGCGAATTCTTTCTATACATCCAAACAGACTGGAAAGGGAGGCTGAAGGATGAGCAGCTTGTCTTTTTGTTTGCTGGTGGATTTTTAGTCAGGCCGAAAAGAAGGGGAAAAAAACACCTTTTCGACAAAGTTCGGATTGCGGGGAATCGAACCCCGGACTTCAGCCCAGTTTGGGGGGGCACACCTAGCTGACACTGACGTGCACCGTGCACCACACCCGATGTATCTACCATCTATTGAACTTTGGGATGAGTGTGATTTAATGAAAGTATGTAGTTGAACACTGAAAAAAAAAATTGACAAGAGTCAGTTTGAGCCGCTAGCAGCGAATTCATTCTGTACACACTGGAAGCGGGGAGTGAATGATCAAGTGCTTGCCTTGTTATTTACTCAGTGGTGAGCATAGTAGATTTCCTTTACTCACGCGGGAACGAAGGTAAAAAAAAAGAGAGAGAGAATGACATGGGATGAATATTCGGATGCGGGGAGTCGAGCCCCGGACTTCGGTCTAATACCAGGTGGCCGACTTATTGGACGCTGACGTGAACCGTGCACCACACCCGACATATTTACCTTTATCTGAACCAGAGGATGAGGGTGCGCAGTTGCATGCTTTCCTTTGAGCCTCAAGGGCCATACACCCAGAGCGATGTGTGTGCGGAACATATACATTTATCATCACCAGTATTCATCATCCAATGGGGAGATTTATCCGCGCGATGATCGCAATTTTTTTTAAAAAAAAGTGGAAGTCCTCCAGTCGGATGCGGGGAATCGAACCCCGGACTTCAGCGATTACCAATAGATACATCGATAACGTATTTGACGCCGACGTGCACCGTGCACCACATCCGAGGTACTTTCTATCCATTGAACCAAAGGATGAGTGAGAAATAATCAAACACACAAAACGCGATTTAGCATCTACTTACCCGTTCTGATTTTATGGAAGCGCAGCCCGTTCTGGTTTTGGGACGCGCACTCCTTTATGATTTTGGTAATTGGGGACAATTGCATCCGCATCATTCTCCCTTAAAAAATCTCCAAATAAATCAGGAGGGCGGCGAATTCGAAAATCTATTCAGGCCGAAAAAGGAAGAGGTATCGAGCACCGCGATAGCTCGGATGCGTGGAGTCGAACCCCGGACTTCAGCGATTATGAGCACTTGGACTTATAATTTGACGCCGATGTGCACCGTGCACCACATCCGATTCATTTACGTTGCTTGAAACCTGAGGATGAGTGAAAGAGGAATCGGTGTTTGAATCATTGCAACCAGCAGTAAATAGGTTCATCCTAAATCAGCAGGGCTATGCGTTTGAGATTAGGCAATGGATTGAATCATCGTTCCAGAGAAAAAAGGAATATGAATATTGTATCCGAATTCAGATGCGGGGAGTCGAACCCCGGACTTCAGCGATTACGAATACCTGGCAGCGAGAGTGAATAAAGGAACTTTTCCCCTTAACTTGGAACTTTACTTACGTGCCAATTTAACTGCGTCGACCTTTACTTGACTTTACGTGACTTTTCCCACGGGTGGTGATTTTAACTTTTAATTGCACGGTTAGTTGGTTTCCCCTCCCTAGAGCTATTATCCTCTCCAAACATTCTACGGCCATATTTATGGCGTACAGGGCATGAATTAACACCCACACAAGTATTTCGGTCAACACAAATCAAATGGCGTAGAATGACCTGGGTGCGCTCTACTAGATTTTGGGGTGAACACCCACAAATAAGGTTGGTGGGGGTCGCTCACATGCACGGGAACAGCTCATCTGACGCACCCTTACGGTCATCAGAGCTCAAGACTTTATTGAACCGGTGCTGATCAGTAGTTCACACAATACTGATATATGTGATTGCACCCAAGTTGAACTTGAGATACCTAATTTGGCTCTATGCG